GGCAAATACAACTTATGAACCCCCTGTAGAGGTTTGTAAGACATCTATCACCCTATCCATGTACTGAGAACACACAAGTTAGACAGCATTAAAATTCAGTATGACTGATGTGATACCCTACTCTTGACAACCAGAGGCTAATGATTATGACCAATAAGTTTAGGAGAGCTTCCAAAATATTTTCTTCTCACACCTATTCTAAAATACGTTATGTTTGGGCCACCTGTCCCTTCTAGTCACTTGCTCCACCAGTAATCAATCAATCAATCTATCTATCCATATATATTATATAAAATAGCGACACTGGAATTCATGGTGTCTCACTGTGAGGTATATCCTGGAGAGAAGGGATAAAAGTACTCAGTCTGTGGAGTGCTACATGTAAGACCGTAATGAATAAAAGCAAGTGCCCACAATAAATTTCAGGGATTTGAAAATAACAAGATGACCTACCTAACCTGCCATTCCATTCACTCCTACCACGTCGGAGTCCTGGTTGATTATAGGATGACTATGAGCTGCCACTGTGACATGGCCGTGAAAAAGGCTAATACAGTCTTGGGATGTATTAGGCGAGGTATTTCCAGTAGGGATAAGGAGGTGTTAGTGCCATTACACAAGGCATTGGTGAGACCCCATTTGGAATACTGTGTGCAGTTCTGGTCTCCCATGTTTAAGAAGGATGAATTCAAACTGGAACAGGTACAAAGAAGGGCCACTAGGATGATCCGAGGAATGGAAAACCTGTCTTATGAAAGGAGACTCAAGGAGCTTGGCTTGTTTACTTTAACCAAAAGAAGGCTGAGGGGAGACATGATTGCACTTTTTAAATATATTAGAGGGATAAATACCAGAAGAACAAATGGATATAAGATGGCTAGTAGGAAGTTTAGACTTGAGATTAGACGAAGGTTTCTAACCATTAGAGGAGTGAAGTTTTGGAACGGCCTTCCAAGGGAAGTAGTGGGGGCAAAAGATCTATCTGGTTTCAAGATTAAACTAGATGGGTTTATGAAGGGGATGGTTTGATGAGATAACATGATCTTGGTAACTAATTGACCATTCATTATAGTGGTAAATAGGTCAATGGAGGGATGATAGGAATTACTCTGGAGAACTTCCTGGGTGTCTGGCTGGTGAGCCTTGCCCACATGCTCAGGGTTTAGCTGATCACCATATTTGGGGTCGGGAAGGAATTTTCCTCCAGGGTAGATTGGCAGAGGCCCTGGAGATTTTTTGCCTTCCTCTGTTGCATGGGGCACAGATCACAGCTGGAGGATTCTCTGCATCTTGGGGTCTTCAAACTATCTGAAGGCTTCAATATCTGAGATATAGGTGAGAGGATTATTCTAGGAGGGGGTGGGTGAGATTCTGTGGCCTGAATTGTGCAGGGGGTCAGACTAGATGATCATAATGGTCCCTTCTGACCTTAGAGTCTATGAGTCGACAAAGATTAGTTAACATGCCCTAATCACTGCAATTGGCCACCATGTTATGTACAAAACCTTGCACTAAACCTACTACTAACAATCTGTGAAATTCTTTACTTCAACCTTGATATCAGTACTGACTGACTTAGAATTTTACATAAAAGCAGTTCATGCACCCCCCTCCCCCAAAATATGCATTTCAGGACTACAGTTAATTTAACACTTGAATCAGCTTTCTGTATGAAGATGAAGTTACACAGTAATTATTCTTCAGAGCTAGCTCATATCACATTATTATGAACAGAAGTTATCAGCCATGGGAAGGTCAACCTTGATTGGCTCCATTCATATAGTCTTAATAAATATGGTGACTTATGCAAAAGGTCATAGGGATTGCACCCATTGTAAAGTGCTATTCATAACCTTTCCTGTTCTGTCTGGGGAAGAATATCTTTGGTACATCAGTAAGATAAATCCGAGATCACTCACTGAAAGCAGCAACAAAGAAAATGGAAAACCGAATGACTAATGCCATTTCTCATCTCTGCCCTCTTGATACTTGCTCCAGCAAGCTATTTATTAGACCTTAAAGCAATGTTTCTAGGCTTACTTTGTTGACACAGCCCAGCAACTCTGATTGTCTAGAGGATTCTAAAAATCTAAATCCTATCTGCTTTACAAAGATCAAAACCCACAGAAAGAACAATTCCTCCTACATTTGCGTCAAGTGCCCCTCAGAGTGCACTTGTTTCTACAAACCTTACTCGTAGCTAGAGCTCACTTAAGCTTTCCTTTGTCCATTTCCACATGAAGATTTGACAGGTATATGAATTATTAATCAGTTATATTATGATGGCACCCAATGCCATGTAATAGCCTCCAGTGATTTAAAACCATCCCTGTGATCTGCTGAATACAATGCTAAATCTGCTGCATCCAAAAATCTTTAGTTTATTCAATAGTTAAAGAAGAACATCCCATTGATGATCCTTTGAATCTTCTTTTTCAGAAAACCGAGAAAACAGAACAAAAATTGTATTCTAGGTCTAGCGAAAAATTAGCTTTACATGGTGTTTTGCAATAAGAAATTAAAGGCATTTGACTGAACAGAACATTTGATAAGTTTCTTCAAATTTTCTTTCAGGGATGGGGCCACAACTATAGAAATAGCTTCTTTGCATTGAAAATCCCATCAGTGAAGTTCCTGAACAACCCAAAAAGCTAAAGTTTGCCCTCACATAATGAATTAAATGGGATCTGACACTACCTTGGGCTAGGTCTAGACTAGAAAGAAGATATGCAAGGAATTTGCATGTCTTCTTCCAATCTCACTTTCGAAAGCAGAGCTCTTCCTCAAAAAATGAGGTTTACATGGCTTTTCAAAAAAAGGGGAGGTTTGCCGAAAAAACAGTGTCCAGACTACTTTCACTTTCAAAAGCTCTGCTTTCAAAAGTGAGATTGGAAGATATGCAAATTCCCACAGAATTTGCATATCCTCTTTCGAAACTTCAGTGTAGTCTACACAAGCCCTTGAGATGACATATACTGTGCTTACCTCACTACATGCATATTTTAGTTGCACCTTCTTCATGTGAGATCCAGGGCCAGAATTAAAAGACTTGTTTATCCACAGGCTTCTCTACATTATCAGAACTACATTGAGGACCCAGATGTCCCTGTCCAGTACAGTTCCAACCAATATAAAAAGCAGCATTACCTAGCTCTTGGAGACATATGTAGCCTTTCTAGCCCAGACAGGAAGTTGAAGTGATCATGAAGAGTATAACTTGGTTAAGTTCAGAGGATTTTCGCTCTTCTCTTAAAGTGTACAGAAATATGTAGTCACCACCATTCCTCATTAGAAGTGAGACCTGGATTCTCCTAAATAACCAGTTCAGAACATTCAAGCCTTCCTGTTCAGTCTTCTTTCAAGCCTCTAGTTGGAAGCCAAGCTCTGTTTGCAGGCCCCTGGATGGTTACTTATATTCTATTTAAGTATTTTGTGTTTGGCAAGATCATGTGAAGCCAGATTTGTAATACAAGCTGAACCTCTCTTGTCCGGCACACTTGGGACCAGAGTCATGCCGAACAATGGAGTTTGCTGGACAAGGGGAGGTCAAGGCTCCCTGTCTGGCTGTTGGCTCTGCTGCCAAGTGGGGCTGTGCCCCCGGCCAGAGCTGCGTCCCCCCGGCCGGGGCTGCATCCCCCCGCTGCCGCCAGCCCTGGCCAGGACTGTGCTCTCCACCATGCTGGCCCTGCTGGGGCTGGGCTCCCCACTGCCAGCCTAGCCCAGGCTGTACTTCTGAGCCTGGCCAGCTGGGGCTCTCTGGTCTAACATTATTTGTGGTCCTCCCGGACCATGGATGTTGCCAGACCAGAGAGTCCTGGATTTTAGAGGTTCAAACTGTAACACAACTTGATTTCTTACTATGTTTTAAAATTGAAATTACGTAGCAAGCTGTAATAAGTTACCACTTGGTATGCAGGGGGGCATTTAGAATCTGACATGTTAATTTGGATACACAGTGTAAGACCAGGGTATATAATTGTGCAGTAAGAGTATACAATAGAGGTATACAACTGTTATAACATGAATTATTCTGTGCTTCATATATGAGCTACTTTTCAGTTGCATTCCTAGATATCTCAATGGGAGAGTTCTACATGTTTGAACACCTCACTGTCCAGGTCTGCTTGTCAAGCATCTCAGAGACAACAGGCAATATGAGAAATGTCAAGTCAATAAAGCAACTGTGCCACCTTCGCTATCCTTGCACTTGTCTCAGTGATCAGGAGTGTCAGTAGCCCTCTGTTCATATTCTGCAATTATGGATATTTGCCTACACAGGCAAGAAAAAAAACGTATCAGATGCAAACACACAAGGTTAGTGCTGTAGCTTTTACTGCTTAGGCTGATTAGCTATTTGCCACATGGAAAATAAATCGTCAGGAAAACAGGTAGAAAAAGCTTCATTTGGCAGTTCAGCATTTAAAAAGGCAGCAGCTCATCTCGCAACATAAAACTGAATGCTGCCACAGTTGCCACACTTCAGAAACCTTTCCCGACACGAAGTCTACCACTTGGTATCTGGAGAGGATGGGCTGATGGTTAGAGAATGATCATTCACACTTATAATGGCTTCCAAATGTGAAGCGTAATTATTCTCCACATTTTACCCAGGGTGAAATGTGGTCAGACTCACTTGTCCACAATTGCATAGCAAATCAAAGGTGATAGATCCCAGATGTCCGATGCTTTCAACCATGACAACTAGTCTAATCAGTTTTTGAATACCCAGAGTCCTTTGGTTCCAACCCAAAGAGATCATACATTCTTTCAAATTGGGTAAATGGGATTCCAAGCATTTCTCTGTATGCGGGTCTATCAAATGACAGCTAAAAAACTCGAGCAATGCTGCCTGCAGACAGAAGAATAGATGTTCCTCTATGGACCTTAGCTAGTTTCCTTATCTTCACTACCATAGAGCATGTTGTATCCTGCCTCATCCCAGGATGTAAAACAATTACAGCAAATGGAGTGCACAGAACACACTGGCCCATGACACTTACCTGTTTTACATTGTATCCTGCTTTTGCACTAGTTTCGATGAACATTACATTCAGCTCTTTGGCTTTCCTTTCTCCCTCCTCAATAGACACTTGCCTGGGAAAGAGAACGTCATCAGAGCAAAAAGAGAGGAATATCCTGACAATTACAGATTGGGAAAACATCCTGACAGCAAGTGCATGTTTTTCCAGTTACAGTACACTTACATTAGGGATACCCACTGTAGTTATAATGACCAGGTATGCAAGGTGTGGTGAGACTGCCACTATGATCGTAAGGGCAGCTTCTACAGTGCAGTAATGGTCTAAGTATACTCCATTCTGCCTCAGCGTGTGAGGGATGAACCAAATGACCTCTCAAGATCCCTTCTTGCTTTACATTTCTATGACTGTCTGCAACAATACCCTCAGCTTTTCGGTAATAAAGTCAAGGTGGCCCATTTAAATTAGCTGGCTATCCTAAAACCTAGATTACTGAACACGAATGTTTTAAATCTAGTTTACTTCATTGATGCTCTCAATTTTTATATTTCACTCAGTTTGGTCTTTGAAGCTAGACTGGTCAATTTCACTTCCTGATTCCCGAGGACAGTGCTGGTTCTGGTTGTCACACACAATGCCATCCTGGAGGCTCACAGTCAAGCCAGCAAATGCTTAAATAACATTTCAAATTTTTTTAAATGTGAAGAAATTTCTATTTCACATTAAACTTCAGCATAATTTAAACAAACTAGATTTGGGGCCAAAAATAAAAGTATCTTTTTAAGCAGAGCTCCCAGCAAAATCAACAGCTGATTGGCCATAAGATTAAGAGAAATGTACAAAGAAGAATTATTTCTCCATACCTCTTATCTGCTAGATCTGTTTTATTTCCCACTAGCATAATAATGACATCGCTGCCCCTTTCCGTTCTGACATCATCAATCCATTTTGTGGTTTGCTGGAATGAGTTTACATCTAGTAAGGAAGAGTGGAAAAAGAGATGAGTGTTGCTATAAAATGTTCTTCACAGATCACTGTCAATATAGCCATAAATCTTGAATAAAAGCCTCACATTCTCTGGTAAGTGGTACATTAGGATAATGCAGAATCAATGGATGCAATCCTGACCCCTCTGAAGTCAATGGGAGTTTTAGTATTTATTTCACTGGGTCTTGGATTTTATCCTTTGGCTTTAAATGTACCTGCAATTGAACTTAATCTATCCAATTATGAATGGACTTTAATATCAGATTGCAAATTATGAAGAGGTTTTTTGCCATTACTTTTAAAGGACTGTTATTTTACTTTATTGAACTAAGGGCGTGTCTACCCTTCACTTCAAAGTTAAGATGACATACAGTCACCGCAGAAATGAAAGTGAAGATTCATATCCACACCATGCTCCTTTTTTCAGCAGTGTTCATCCTCACCGGAAGCTTCCACCGACTGAAGTAGGGCACTGACAGCTGGAGTTACGCTGGGGCTAACAGTTTAGAAGGGGTTGGCAGACAACAGGTGATGTAAGTAATGCAATGTCTTCACAGACAGCGTGTCACCATAATATCTCGCATAGTTGGGAGTTAAATCAATTTATTCAGCAGCTTACATCAGTAGGTGCACCATAGTAGTGTAGACACTTACACAGTTAGGTCAACATAAATTGTCTTATGTCAACGTAACTCTGTAGACCAAGCTATAGTTGAATGTATTTTATATACCGAATGGGATCGCTTTGCTATTTAATCTGTACTATTGAAGGCTTGAAAAACACTTAATATATGTATCAGTAAGGAGGCCCGACTGTTTCAAGGCTTTTAAAAAGCGTTTAATTTTGTGATCCTAGTTTTAGGTTTGTTCTCCTAGGAATATTGGGTTTATGTAATTACTAGCAACTAGTATTAGGTTGATCACTGACCTCAAAATAATTTTAGAATTGTTTACATAACCAATAAAACATAAAAGGATCCTTTGGTATTTTCTAACTAAAAACCTCCTCCAGATTCCAGCAGCTTTAGTAGAACAGTAAATGAATATCTAAGCTGCAAAACGAGATTCTAGGAAATAGGTGTAACCCGCATACCTAGTGTGGTTCACTGTCCCCATGCAGTGGCACCTAGACCACAGCAACAGATAACAGGAGACTTCTACGGCATGGGCTAAGAGCTAGCAGGCTTTATAGCTCAGAGGGTAAATGCTTCTCTATTAAGCTCCAGATGTCCCAGGTTCAAATCTACCCTGTGGCTGTTACAAGTGTGGGCTTGTCTGGGATTTCAACTGGGTCTCAGAAGCTCAGGATGCGCCCCCTCGCCTAGGGGTAGTATGTAATCCACATACCTAGTGTGGTTCATTGTTAATGCAGTGGCACCTAGACCACAGATAAGAATAAGAGACCTCTACAGAATGGGCTGAGAGTCAGCTGGCTGTAGAGGGCAGAGGCTCCTATATTAAGCTTCAGAGGTCCCAGGTTCAAATTCACCCAGTGGGGGTAACATAGGCATTAACTAATGAATATATAGTCACCTTGTTTGCAAAGCTGAGTTCCTAACAATAATATCAATTGTTGTACCATTCAATTTAGAAGTTAATGTATATCAGCTACCATCAACTAGGCATATCTGAGATGCCAAAGTATTTGTCCACACTTAAATAGGGACATTTCTGTGGTAATTCAGTTGGCCAAGTGTTGGCTTTGTAACAGTAAAGTGAAATAGTGTGCAGCTTAGGGCTTGTCTTCACTACACAGTGGATCATCATTGCAGTGATTGATTGATCCACCAATGGTCAATTTATTGCATCTGTTTAGCTGCAATAAATTGACCTCTAAGTGCTCCCCCATCAACTTCCCTAATCCAACAGGAGGAGAAGAGTAGGCCCCCTTCTTGCCCCCTGATCTTTACATGAAGAAGACACGGTGGTTAAGTACGTTGACTTCAGCTACACTAGTCACGTCTAGGACCCAGAGAGTTAAGATTTGATCACTTGTCAACAGCTTAATGGTACGAAGCTTTTCTTTAATACTTAGCAATAATCATTAGGTCAGTGGAGAAGTCCAAACTTTACAGCTAACCCTGTAATTTAAGCTCAATTTAAAAGGTTTGTTTATAACAATTAAGTTTACAAGAGAATCAGTTACTCTTGCTATAACCTAGTATTTGTGAATAAAAGGATAAGACCTTTTTGGGGATTTGGGTGGATTCAGACTATTTCATCCAGTCACTATTTATAGTGTAAAAAGCCTCTGAAGGTTTAATTCTCCTTTAACAAAATTATTGTTCTTCATAAATTTAAAAAGCCAATAAATGAGGGTTGCTCTGGCCTTTTAAATCAGTTTTGGGGTGGAGATGAGAAAGCACTAACATTTTAGTCCTCAAAAGTGTACACAACCTATTAAGAATTAAAAGTAAATGATTAAAAGGCTAAATGCTTAGTCATGGAGCTTTAAATACCAGAAAATGAAAGTGGCTGTGAAGGTAAAAAATGTGGTATGCCCCTTCCCCAACCCAGACTCAGATTTTGGGGATAATGGAGTGAAGCAAGCTGCAGTTCTCAAATGGCCTCAATGGGAAAGCTTTCATTTGAAAATTCAAAGATATGCAAGCAAGTGATGCAGGTATCTGAGAACAAGTCAGAAATGGAGATGATACCCAAAAGAAGAGCAAATGAGACAAGGCCAGCTGGTGCTTGGGGTTTTGGGACAAACCATGTGATAGGAAAGGGTCGCAAATATATTATTCAGCCAGGAAGATTCATAAATCCATTTATACATTACTACAAACAGCTGTGATCAGAAGTGTCTGCTTTAAAACTTGACTACAGTAAAGGAAACACTTTTCATGCCAGTATGAAAGACAAGCACATGACTGTGATATGACATGCAGAGCTAGAGTAAAGAACGACAGAACATAGTATTAGAAATGCAGAATTCCCCCCCACTCACTTGTGATATCATAAACAACAACTGCAACAGTGGAGTCACGAATGTAGCTGGG